ATAGATAGATAGATAGATAGATAGATAGATAGATAGATAGATAGATAAATAGATAGATAGATAGATAGATGATAGATAGATAGATAGAGATAGATATAGATGATATAGATATAGATAGAGATAGAGATATAGATATATAGATATAGATATATAGATACAGATATCTCAAAAAAATAAAGGGAACACAAAAATAAGGCATCCTAGATCTGAATGAATGAAATATTCTTATTAAATACTTTGTTCATTACATAGTTGAACGTGCTGACAACAAAATCACACAAAAATTATCAATGGAACTCAAATTTAGCAACCCATGGAGGTCTGGATTTGAAGTTACACTCAAAACTAAACTGGGAAAAAACACTACAGACTGATCCAACTTTGATGTAATATCCTTAAAACAAGTCAAAATGAGGCTCAGTCGTGTGTGTGGCCTCCACATGCCTGTACGACCTCCCTACAATACCTGGGCATGCTCCTGATGAGGTGGTGGATGGTCTCCTGAGGGATCTCCTCCCACACCTGGACTAAAGCATCCCCCAACTCCTGGACAGTCTGCGGTGCAATGTGGCGTTGGTGGATGGAGCGAGACATGATGTCCCAGATGTGCTCAATTGGATTCAGGTCTGGGGAACGGGCGGGCCAGTCCATAGCATCAATGCCTTCATCTTGCAGGAACTGCTGACACACTCCAGCCACATGAGGTCTAGCATTGTCGTGCATTAGGAGGAACCCAGGGCCAACTGCACCAGCATATGGTCTCACAAGGGGTCTGAGGATCTCATCTCGGTACCTAATGGCAGTCAGGCTACCTCTGGCGAGCACATGGAGGGCTGTGCAGCCCCCTAAAGAAATGCCACCCCACACATTACTGACCCACTGCCAAACCAGTCATGCTGGAGGATGTTGCAGGCAGCAGAACGTTCTCCACGGCATCTCCAGACCCTGTCACGTCTGTCACATGTGCTCAGTGTGAACCTGCTTTCGTCTGTGAAGAGCACAGGGCGCCAGTGGAGAATTTGCCAATCTTGGTGTTCTCTGGCAAATGCCAAACGTCCTGCACGGTGTTGGGCTGTAAGCACAACCCGCACCTGTGGACGTCCAACCCTCATACCACCCTCATGGAGTCTGTTTCTGACCCTTTGAGCAGCCACATGCACATTTGTGGCCCACTGGAGCTCATTTTGCAGGGCTCTGGCAGTGCTCCTCCTGTCCCTCCTTGCACAAAGATGGAGGTAGCGGACCTGATGCTGGGTTGTTGACCTCCTACGGCCTCCTCCACATGTCCTGATGAACTGGCCTGTCTCCTGGTAGTGCCTCCATGCTCTGGACACTACGCTGACAGACACAGCAAACCTTCTTGCCACAGCTCGCATTGATGTGCCATCCTGGATGAGCTGCACTACCTGAGCCACTTGTGTGGGTTGTAGACTCCGTCTCATGCTACCACAACTTTAAAAGCACAACTATAATGATGTGGGAAAATATCTGAACAAAGCTGAATACCATATATTTATATACACACACACACACACACACACATATCCCGCATCTATTTATGTACAGATGGTACTCACCTTACAACAGTTCATTTAGTGACCCGTTCGAAGTGAAAAAAGTGACTTGTGACCATTTTTCACACTTATGAGCGTAGTAGCATCCCCATGGCTTAGGGACATGCCTTGGGGATTGTAAAGATATTTCGGTTACTGTAATATAATTTAGATGTGCTTGGTAAGGAATGACATCAATATCGTAACTGTTTAACATTTGGTTCGTTTCATTTCAGTCACACGATTTATATTCGGTTGCTTGACAACTGACTCACATTTATGACGGTTTCCTGTGTGATCCCCTTTTTGCGACCTTCTGACAAGCAAAATCAATAGGGAAGCCAGATTCACTTATAACAACCGCACAACTAATTTAATAACTGCAGTGACTCACTTAACAAATCTGGCAAAAAAAAAGATTGCAAAATGGGGCAAAAACCCCTTTTAAAAAATGTCTCACTTAACAACATCAATGTTGGGCTCAATTGTGGCCATAAGTCGAGGACTACCTGTAGTATATACCTTCCCAATCCTTAACTTGTTAATTTTTTACCACCTTTAGTGCCTATAAATAGGACTGGTTTGGTGTGGTACAGCCTTGGCAGCGAAATTAACATCTAAGTCTTTGGAGCTCGTATGACATTTAACAGCAGCAGTGAAAAAGAACATTTTACTTTTCTTCATGTCTACTGTTATGGCAGATTTCTGCTTAATCTTGTTACTGGTTTCTTCCAAACCTCATGAGATGAAAGAAATAACAAATTGGACTTTGATGTGTCCATTTGTGACACTAGAGCCGCATGATGAACAGAAATTAGACAAGTTGTGCTTCCCCTTCCCTAGGTGACTCCTGTATGTGTGATTTGTTTCCAATATTTGGTATTTTGGTACCACTACAGAATTCAGACAAACCTCAATAAGCAGAAAGATAATAACGAGGAACAAAAGAGTAAAAATTCAATGACAGATTGAATAAATGGGTTAGACATCAGCTGGAGATGAGCCTTTCCAAGGAGATAGAATAGCATTTCCAAAGGACCTGAATAATAGCAATAGCACTTAGACTTATATACTGCTTTACAGTGCTTTATAACCCTCTCTAAGTGGTTTACTGAGTCATCATATTGCCCCCAACAATCTGGGTCCTTATTTTACTGACCTTGGAAGGATGGAAGGCTGAGTCAACCGGGTGAGATTTGAACTGCCAAATTGCATTCAGCTGGCAGTCAGCAGAAGTAGCCTGCAGCAGTGCACTCTAACCACTGTGCCACTATGGCTCCATGGCTCATAATAATAGTTGCATAAAAGAAATCCATGGTATCTAATGTTCCACTATATACCAAATAATAATCAAGTTAAGAGAAAGCCATTCCTGATTAAATGTTAGGGGGGGGGATTCTTAACTGATTAGTGAAATCAGAAACCAAAGCAAGCTGGATTTCTTTAATATACAGTAGGCTGGAGACCTAGTGGCTTTTTTTCCCATGGTCCTTCACCATAGAAGAGGACCAAATCTGGGGAAAATACCTAAAATCTGGAGCTCTCGAGCTAAAAGAGATACAAATGCATGTTGTCGGTTTGAACT